AGTTTGTTATTGGAGAGGTGGGAAGGGTGTAATTTTTTAAATTATATCTTATCTTTTTCAGTTAGAAAAAATCTGCCTTCTCACCCTCCCACCCCCAAAACCTGATTCTCTCCTGAGAACTAAAGATTCGTTGTCTCACTCTGCACTCTGAATCCTTTATTTCTCTAAAGGGTTATGGATGGCATGTTTCATTGTTGGTCCTCTGGAATCATGTCTGGTCATTACATTGATGAGTTCTTGATTCTTTCAGAGCTGTTTTCCTTTACTATATTTCTGTCACTTTAGATTTATTCTCCTGGTTCTGTTCACTTCACTCTGTATCAGTTCTTACAAGACTTCCCGAGTTTCTCCGAAACCATCCCCTTCATCATTTCTCACAGCACAAGTGATCCATCACATTTACGTGCTATAACTTGTTCATCCATTCCCCAATTTATAAGCACCCCTTCTGATTCCAATTCTTTGCCACCTCAAATTGCTATAAATATTTTTGTACATCCTTAGAGTTTGTTTTGCTTAACACTAATCCTTTTCACTTACTCTGTCCTTCCCCTTTTCCTCTTTCCTACCAATTTCTCTATTTGAATGAAATGTATTTCTGAATCCAACTCTGTATATGTATTTTTCCTTCCTTTAACCGGTTCAGATGAGAATGAGGTTAAAGGGTCAGCTGCTCTCCCCATGCCCTCCTCGTTTATATAAATGTCTTCCTATGCAACCTAATTATGTGCCATAATTTTCTCTAGTCTCCATTTCCCTTCCACCCTTCCCCAGTGTATTCCTCTTCCCATTTCTTTCCATTTTTCTCTTAAGATCATCAAGACAAACAGAACTACTCCTTGGTGTTGTCCAATTTAACTCCCACTGTGAATCCCAGTGGTGATAGAACTCAAAGAGGACACGTCTCCCTATATTTGAATGTGATAAATTGATCCCACTTCGTCCATATGATTATTCATATATACCTTTTTGTGTTTCATTTAACTTCAGTGTTTGAACTTAGCAGTTTCTCCACAGCTAGTCCTCCATTTAATTCAAGGTCTGTTTTTTCCATTGTGAGACTGTGTTCAGTTTTGCCTGGGAAATTATTCTTTACTAAAAGCTCATATTCTTTGCCTTCTAGAATATCATATTCTAAGTTCTCTACTCCTTTATAGTGGTCGCAGCTAAATTGTGTGTGATCCTCCTTACAAGAATTCATCATTTCTGGCTGCTTGCAGCATTTTTTTCTTTGACCTGGAAGCTCTGGATTTTGGCTATGATGTTGCTGGGAGTTTTCATTTTGTTTATTTGTTTGTTTTTCCAGGAAATGACTTGTGGATTCTTTCTGTTTTCACTTTACCTTTTGGTTCTAAGATCTGGGCAGTTTTCTTTTAAGAACACTTGAAATGTGTTGTCTGGGCTGGGCTTTTTGGTCACGGTTTTCAGATCTGTTTTCTGAGTCACTTATTTTTGCTATAAGTTATCTTATGTTCCATTTTTTTAATGTCTTTTGACTTTGTTTTAATATTTCTTGTCTCATGGAGTCACTGACTTCTATTTGGCCCATTCTAATTTTCAGGGAGTTTGTTGCTTGGACAAAGTTTTGTACCTCTTGTTCCAATCAGTCCCTTTCCAGTTCCTCCTTCCATAGCTCTCATTTCTTTTCTAATTTTTTTCTCAAGTGTTCTCATTTAATTTATAAAATCATTTTTAGCTTTGAAATTCTTACTCCATTTCTTCCAGGAATTCTAGTTGAGTTTTCACCCAAGCTGTATTTTAGTCTGAGGCATTGCTTGTAGGTGTTTTGAATCACTTTTTTCTGCTTTTGTATCTCAAGCATTCCTGCCACCATTATACGTCATTATGGTGGGGTTCTTTTTTGTTTACCCATCCTTCCAGCCTGTTTCCTGACTTTGGACTTGGCTCTGCCACACTTCTGAAAGAAAGGTCTGGGATGGTCCTGTTGCTGCTTTTTTTTGGGTGGTATTGAGTGTTGTTTTATTCCAGAATCTCAGGGACAGTCTGGAGATGTGCAGGTTTTCCATGCTGCCAGAGTGGTCTGATCCGGGGCAAAGTCTGATTGCTGTCCCTCCGTTCAGAGCACTGCAAGTTCCTGACCTCAGTTTTTGGTTAAAGCAGCAGGAGAATCCTGCTGGACTCAGTTCCTGTCAGCCAGCTGGGAAGTTTTACTGGCTCATAACTGCAGACTTCTCTTTGGTCTGGGAGTCCTACCCTGGAAGGCTGCAGGCTAGACTAGATATTGGAACTGAGATCCTGCTCAGCTCCTATGATCTGACCCACATCTCTGCTGCTTGCTTCTGAACTTCCTCATTTCTCACACACCCCCAGTACACCTCTGGCCCAGATTCCCTTTCAGGCTACCCTGGATCTGTGACCTAGAATTGGGTAGTAGGTGACAAAGTTAGCAGTTTGCATCTGTCCCTGTCAGGGTACCAGTGCAGGTCTGGTGGTGCCCAGTATGTATGTATCTGAGAAGTCCTCTTGCCCTGGTGCACAGCCTTTCCCTGCGTAGGAGTGCTTTATCGTGCTCCTGGCTCAACTCCATCCCTAGTGTCCACAGACCTCCCTGTCTGTCTCCCTAGGCCTAACTGGGCTAGACAAAGGACTCCCTATGACTTTTGCAGGATTTCCCCATCAGAATTCAGTCTAGTGCATTTTCTAGGTCTGGTTGAAAGAGTTTTGTGGACAGGAGCTTGACTACATGGCTGCTCTGCCATCTTGGCTCCCAAATATATATATATTTTTAAGATCAGGAAAGAAAAGGGAATTTCCTACTATTCCCTACATGATAGAACTTTCCACCTGGATATCTTAAGTTTTGGAAATAATCTTTTGTTTTCATCTTAAAATCCTGTAACACCTTTCCCCCTCCCCACCTTGATGCCAGATGTGAAAATGAACTCAGAACCTTTGAAGCTGGAATTAAGAATTCTAGATTAGAACATTGTTCATTCAAGAAGGGAAGCTATAGCTCCAGGAAGGAGACTAAATTGTCTGGCAGATGCCTTGAAGCTGTCATTGCTCCTTTAGTTATTGCCATATCTTTATTATTCATAATTGGAAGTGTTCTGATGAAAGGAGAAATTTTACTAATGAATAAGAAGCCATGAGATCACAACAAAGGGCTCTTTTTCTCACTCACATGTTATACTGATCTTCCAGACAGTTGTTACTTCTGTTGCTTTTGAGTTTTTTCTGAGGTAGACGCTTTCCATTTCCACACTTCCTTCAAGATCCCCCTTTCTCCTTATTGTTCTAATTGTGTATCTTGCCATTACATACCAAATGAAGTCCAAGTATTCAAGGACCTCCAAATCCCAGTTCCAGCCTGATTTTCCCATATTTCTCTTCATAAACTCTTGTATTTCAGCAAACAATGACAGAAACCATCTCTGTGTGTGTGTGTGTGTGTGTGTGTGTGTGTGTGTGTGTGTGTGTGTGTGTACAGAGGGGCAAAGCAAATGGGTTTGAAGAGGAAAGATTGTTACTGACCTGGGAGAACAGGGAAGGCTTCGTGGAGAAGAGAGCATATGAGTTGGGCTTTATAAGGTAGACAGAAGTTAGACAAGTGAAGAAGGGGAAGGGGCGTTATACTAGGCAACTGTTAGTGTGGTGGACATTATACTAAGAAGCTATGAGCAAGGTACAGAGTGCAGGCTGTGCTCAGAGGACAGAAAGTACTTTAGTTGTGCTTGAGCATAGAGTGCATGTAAAGGAATAATAGAACAGAAGTCTGGAAAGGTCCAGGATGAGCCTAGCTGATGGAAGGCTTTGAACTTCAGAAGGAGGATGTTAACTTTTATTTAGTAAGAAGTAGGGAGTCACTGGATACTTGAGATAATTATAAATAATTAATATAAATAAAATAAAATTAATATAAATCATTATTTTATTAAATTAGTAACAGTAATTTTTATTAAATAATAATAATATGGTGTTATGATAAAATATAATGTGTAAAAATTAATATGAATATATAGAAATTAATATGAAAATAAATAATTATATGGATAACTCAGATATCCGTAAATCTTTTAAGATTTACAAAGCATTGTCGCAAAAACACTGTGAGATAGGCAGTACAGATAGTATTACCCCCTCTATGATGATGAGGAGATGAAGATTCACAGAACATCAGTGATTTGCTGATAGAGCCAGAGCTGGGAATCAAGCCAGAACCCTCTGGTTCAATCAGACCGTGGCTCAATAAATGTGAGCACCTGGTCTGTGCCAGGCACTGCGCTAAGCCCTGGGGAAACAAAGAAAGGCATAAGACAGTCTCTGCCCTCCAGGAGCTCACCATCTAAAGGAAGAAGACATTGCATAAAAAGAAGCTGAAAGGAAGGGAAGGTTACTCAGCCCAGGGGGCCAGAAGAGGTGTGCATTTCATGAATGTTTTCATCCTGCAGATGAAATTCAGGAGGTCAGCTGGGTGGGAAATGATGAGATGAATTCCCAAGTGACCTCCTGAAATGGTAGAGGATTAGGGAGGAGCCCTGCAGTGTCCAGCCACCCTTTACAGTCAGAGGAAGAATTGGGCCCCAGGGACAGAGGGTGCTGAGGAAGTATGAGTTTCATGGTTCATTTCATCTTGCAGAAAGACAAGTATGTGCAGAGCATGAAATCCAGAAGGTCAAGTAGGTGGGAAATGGTCATCCCAAGAGCAGTATTTTTTCTTCGATACCATTCTGTGTCCCATTTACAATAATGTCTGGGAGCAGAAACAGCGTGTATTAAATTTGGCTGTGGCACTGTCCCTTAACTGTGCCAATGAAGCACTTGGAGAAATTGAAATTGTGGAGTGGTTATGAGTTGCAGCTGTGGTGGTGTGTTAATGATAAGGTTAAATGTCAATAGCTGGTGAAATTCCTCCATACCCATGAGGATATGTTTCATAAGTTTTTCCCTTTTCAGTTCATTTACATCCTTGGTGCTGTAAACTCATCACAAAATTAAGAGTTCCAATAACTATCTTCTTCATTCTTTCTTCCCTGCAGAGAATGTAATCAATGGGCAAGATTATGAAGTGATGATGCAGATCGACTGTGAAGTGATGGACACCAGAATCCTCCACATCAAGAGTTCTGCTGTTCCTCCCTACCTCAGAGATCATCAGAGGAATCAGACTAGCTACTTTGGCTCTCCACCAGCCACCCCGGAGGCAAGAGCCCACGTTGTCAGTGCAATCACTGAGTCCTTGCAGTAGGCCGCTGCTGTGCCTGCTGCCACAGACTTTCACACCTGAGTCTAGAACTCAGCCAGACCAGACAAGTGCATTGTGGACAGGCAGTTTAGTATTGCCCAGTGATGTAATTCAGTGTCTGCAGCAAAGGAGGAACATTTTTGTTTTCCAGCAGTCTTACTATCACACAGGTGGTGCTAGGGTTTTTTCTCAAGTGGACACAACCTCGATCCTTGGGTCCTCCAGTGTTCCCCTTCTGAGATCTTCTGTACTTTCTGGATTGGTCTTGCCATTCAGTCCTTATCTTGTGTTTCACATCAGCTTCCTTTCCCATCCCTCCCTGAGGCATTGCCCAGTGTTGCTACACGTGATGTAGCAAAGTGATTTTTATTTCAGGTGAAAACAAAGCTTGGAGGCCAGAGTGTCCAGGCAGATCTAATTTTTTAATTTGTTTTTATGAAACTTGGGGCTGGTATTTATCCAAATGGCAGGTTTCAAAACCCAACAGCTGAAAGTACTCAGCTACTACTAAATTGTATTAAAAACACTCAGAACGACCTTGCTTAAGGTTAGGTGGAAGAGCCCTCACTTGGTGACATTTAACCTTGATCGAATTTGTTGTTCACATCCACCTCTTAATAAGTCTGATGCTACGCTTAAAAGCTGCCTAATGCTGCATCGGTGATGTGGTGGGAAACAGAAAACATGCTGATTTGAGAGAATGAAATTTCTGTTGTCTCACTAATAATTAGAAAATGAGAGAACTACAGGAAAGTTTAATGTGAAGAATGGAGGAAGAAATAGCTAAAGTAATAAAAGTTGTTAAAGCTGTGAAAATATTTTGGGGCACTCTTTGAAATAAAAACTTAGCTTTCATATAACTTCATTAAATTAATTCACAGGGAGTGTTTGCATGTGCTCTGGTCTTCTCTTCAATGATATCTTATACAGATCCTCAACGCCTGCAGAAAAATACCTCATTGTATTTTTTGGGAAAGATTGGGGTGGGGGGAAGAGGGGTGTTCTTTCTGAGTGTTGCACTGATAGCAGATTCAAGTGATAAGTATCAGTGTGGCTCATAACTAGGCAAGCCAGAAGCTGTTTCTTCTGAAAACTAATAAATCGTTTGCTCACTTCAGGAAAAGCAGAGGTACTTGCTAGGGAAGTCTGTTTCACAAATGTAGCAACAGTTTCCATATTCATCATGGAGGAGACCATGACAGAGTTGGATTTTTTTACTTCCCTAAAAATGACTACTGATTTCACTTGCATTCCACTTGAACTGTGTTCCAGTAAATTTTGAAGGTGAAAAGGAACATTGTGCACATTGTGCCTCCCAGACCATGTAGATTTGTTTTTCTTTGACATATAGTTCTGATTCCAATTACTTAAAACAGTTATCTTCCTCTAGCTTTTCTTATGGCATTTTCTAGACCCTTCATTAACCTCAACATGGATTAAACATTTGCTGGCTCGCAGATTCAGTTTTTCTTTGTTATTTTATCCCATTCCTCTTATGCCATCCCAATACATTCTTCTTCCTCCTCGAAAGGAAAGGAAAAACAGAAATTCCATCAGCCCTTAATGCTTATTTTTCTATTTGTGGTGTTATCTTTATATTTGTGAAATTGGGTTGAACTCAAGATTTTGAAGTCTTGCTAATATTTCTAGCCCTCTGCAAAGCAAGGCCTCTCTCTAAGCAAATGCCATTCCCCTGAAGTTAGATGATCACTATGGGAAATCAGCCTAACTTCCCTGGAAAAGAAATACATGTACCAAGAAGGAATTTTGAGACTTTAAGCATTGGTTAACCTTTTTATTCTTTATATTCCTAACCACTTTAAATCAGGACAACCCAGTTTCTTACTGAATACTCTTTCAATCTCTGCATATTTGTCAGGCCGGTAAATATGGAAAAGCCCTGTGTGTTCCTTGTTGAATACTGTGTACTTTGATGATGGGAGAAAGCATATGCTATATAAGCCTGAAATCTTACACTGATCACCTCAAGAACATTCTTATTCTGGCACATCTTCTTTATGTCTCTGTGTGTGAGCTCTCTAATTCAGATTGCCTCTAGTTTTGATAACTATGAGGAGGTGGATTAGAAATTTCCATGCTGTAATTCTCTGAAGGATTTGAAGTTAGATGACTCTGTCATTAGTTTTTGTAATAAAACACTTTGTGCTCTGCGCAGTCCAGACAGGACCTATCAAAATCTTCCATCTCTTTTCACTGATCTCTAATTCTGGCAAGAAACCATTCACTGAATGGACTGAATGGGCTTCTTTTTTTCTGGCCCAAAGCTGTGATTCCATCTCTGTGTGACTTATCTAGTTTTTCTTGGGGTCACTGTCCCAATTCATCAGATGATTTCCCCAGCTCATGACCTGAGCCCTAGCCTAGGTGGTTCATACCCAGAGGTCAGCCACAACTTTGTGACAATAAGGTGATGGACGTGTAGAGGCTGTAAACAGGTAGCTCTGAATACCTGTGCTGTGCGAATTACTGACAATGGTAGGAAGCACAGTCCAATCTCACAGTCTCTCTGTCCATTTGCCTTATTGCCATCAGCTCTTCATGACCTGAACCCCTCCAGATGAGCTCCTGAGTCATAGCATGACTGCCAAAAATGTATACCCCCAAAACTTTTTTTGGAGGAATTTGAAAGACCACCTTCAGATTACCCCCAGATCTCTTCACCTCTTTCTTAAACTACTTAAGTCTGTTGTATGATAGTGGTTTCCCTTTGGATATTTGTGTGTCCTTATGAGACAAGATGACTGGCACTCATTTCTGTTCAGGAAATGAAAAATAACTATGTGAGTGAATGAAACCAGACCCCAGCATCACCATCTGAGCAGTGTGGCAGGAGTGTGTGCAATGTTACCTTTTTTTTTCAAGTTCTTTTAGTGAGTTTTCTAAGGCCTGCTTAAGAGATGCTTAAGAGACCCCTGTAAGACATAACTTGCGCACGTTGTGTGACCTTGCTATATGCCTTTTAGCCAAGAGCACTCTGCTGGCTGGCAATGGAAGCAGACAATGGAAACTTTGAAGTGAAGGATTTCTCTGCACAGTTTAGACTGAATAAAAGTAAAACAGATGTTCCATCACACTGACAACTGAATCAGGTGATGAAGGGACTTTGAGCAGTTTCTCCCATGACTGGGTTAATGCATTCTGCATCAGGCCTGGAAATGGGCTGGGCTGTGTTTAAAAGTGCATACGTGTCCAACCTGAGGTAGCACCTTAGTTTCAAATAGCTCCTTTCCAAAACTAGCAGTTTGAGAAAGGGCCAGTCCTTTCTCAGCAAACAGATTATTTGTTCAAGTGTTTGCATTCTGAAAGGTTGGAGCTGGGGGGGGGGGGGAGTTGTGTTGAGAGTGGCTCTTCAATTGCAATGAAAAACTCTGTAGGGATTCCAGAGCTCCAAGAACATCTTCTGCTGTCTTTTGGTGATTACTAACCAGCTCCACGTTCCACTGGCCTACTTCATTTTTCACTTTAGTAAAAAAATACAAAAGGTGTTTGAAATCAAATGCAGCAATATTATGAGTCATCCTTCAGTGTTCAGAACAAAAATTACTTGGAAACAGACAAAGAACTTTGGATCCAGGCTGATTTTCAATGTATTTTATTAGAGACACACTGTCATTAAAAAATGATATTTGTTTGACTCCTCCTCCCCTGTACATGTATACCTATAGACAAAAGGTGGGGAATTTGATGTTTTAAACTCCTTTCCTATGGTACTTAAGCTCATTAAAACTAGATTTGTGTCAAGGTCTTCCCTTACATGCCGTTTTCTGATTCCTGTCATTGCACTAAATTGAAATAATGAAATTTGACAAGCGTCTGCCATGGTAACCAGGCCTGTACTCCATGTTTGACCTTCCCAGCACTGCATGGAAAGGTTTTCAACATATTCCTGATAGATCTATACCAAGAGATCTCTTTCTTCATAACTGACTTTGGAAGTATCCAATTTTCTGTTATTGGAGATGGAGTAAAGGAAGCAGTATACAGATGGAATACCCTTTTCTCCTGTGTGATATCATGAAATCTCTCCACCCATGAGCACCTTATTCTGCATTTAGAAGGGCCTGACACAGGCTTCCTTCAACAGAATAAGATGTTAGCTGTATTCATAGGAGTTAAACTTGTTATTAAACTATTTCAGTAAAATACTCATTCTTTCTGACCCATTGCTGTCATAATGCAACAACATTCATTTCTGTGTTGCGCCCCCCCACCCCCGTTTTGTTCCTTTGCAGTAGATAGCCTGTAGTCTGTTTACCTAAAGTAGACTAACATTTGGCAACAGCAAGGATCAGGATTGTCATTTGCCTCAGCCTGTAATTGTTTTGTTTAAAAAAAATCGGGGCAAAGAAAAGCATTTGCTGTTATGGGGGCCAAGTATAGCTTTTGCTTAAAAAGCATGAAAGAGTGATTAGAGATGGAGACATTGGAGAGAGACTGGAGTTCCAACTTTTAATTGCCAATGAGGGGGAAAAAAATCGCAGGGTTTAGGTTTTGTGTTTTAGTTTAGTTTTGTTTTAAACACAGCTCCAAGGAAATAAGGGATGATGCTGTCATATCCTAAGAGAAGTATGCATTGCAAATTAGGAAGATTTGGGGTGACTAGATTTTATATGGCTCTGTCTGCTATCTTGTCACCGAGCAAAAACAGTCCCATCCATTTTTGAAGAGAATAACAAAAATATCTCATGGCAATTCATCATTATATGTAATGTATATGCTGCGTTTGAGATCTGTCAAAGTAGCAAATGTTTGCTCATCAACTAATGGTTTGTTTATTCGCATTCATACCTCAAAAGAGGTTTGTGTGTATTTTTTAAGAAAAGTAGGTTTAAGATCATAAGAATAAACGTGACCTAATTTATCACTTTTGGCATCAGTTAAACAAAACAGTTGACTAAAAATAGAAGTGTCAGCACAGAGATAACTCGCTAATTTATTGGTTTTGGTCAAATATTCAGGTGATCATCTCCAGTTGATTATATTTTTTCAGAATTTGCTCCCCTTCTAGGAACTGAGCTTGATTTTTAAAAGGTGTTTGAGTCAGTTTCCTGATGAGAAACAAGCCTGTTCTTATTTTCTAAATATTCACTAATGTTACCTGTGGTGAATTTATGAATTTGTGATTTCCCCTTAGTGTTTGTGCAGAATGAAACCAAGCAATGGATTCCCCCACAGTTGGAAACTACCATGCAATCTTGAATATAGGAATGCTGGTTTCTCATTCTCACCACACTGGTAGCTCCAGTTGGCCTACGTCCCCTGTTTCATCTGACAGTTGAGGAGATGAACCACCTCTTCCTGGGAGATAGACCTGAGGGTTTGTAAGAGATGTTGTCTCACCAGGATCATATCTTTAGGGTCATACCCATACTTGCTGAATTAAGCATTGGCATTAAACATAAGGCCAGGGGGAAAGGGAAGATACCATTTCTCCTTTGATATTTATGTGGGATCACAGTTCACAAAGGAAAAAATGACAGAAGATATGTATTTAATGCTTTCCAACAAGTCTTTATAATGCTATACCTGTTCTTTGAAATAAAGAATTTTTAACTTTCATGCTTTGTTTTTATCTTTATGTAGAAATAAGTAGAGGGTCCAAAATAAAGAAATACTCAGTATTAAATGGCTGGAGATGAAAAAAGAAATGTGAGATGGTTTTGTGGCCTGTTGCTATTTGGATAAAATTATTTTTTTTTCCTGGTTAAGTAAAATTTTCCATTATGAGGCCTAGTTAAGTTGAAAAGCTATTTTATCAAAGATGGAAACTTATATAAAGAACAAGGGACAAAGGTTGCCTGTGGAACTAAGGCCAGGACTAGGGAGGGGGGTCTGCGGCCTGGTTGGGAATGACTGCACCTCTGGGAGTGGCCAGTGTGTTGGCCAAAATGGTGGCCTGGGACAGTGGGCTAGGGCACAGCTTAGGACCTCAAGCCACCCTCAGACTTCTGAATCCTAGCAGCAAGTATGTGAAGCTGAAAAGTGTGGAGTGTATTACAGACCCGTACTAAGCAGGACACCGTGATCAAAGCTTTGTTCAACGACCACGTAGAGGTGCTCACAGACTCAACCCTTTACTACTATCACACATTATCCATTATCATTATTAGGAATTATTAGCTCCTAAGGGCAAAGAAATCTTACTTCACCTTCATCACCCTGCAAGCACCTTTCCTGTAATAAGCACCTAATTGATGTTTATTGAATTAAATTAATGGCATAAGTTTGATGGTAGCAAAGGGTTGGTTAGGAAAAAAAACAAAACCATTTGAATAACGTTACTTTCACTGATCCTCATAGCCCATTTTCCCTTAGAATAGGGTGAGAATTCTGGTCACTGGAAGAAGCTAGGCCACGCAGGGACAAAGAAGTTCTCAGTAGTGTGTAAGGTTGGCAAGGTCATGCTAACAGCCAAGGCATGTCATTGTCATCTCTGTAGAACATGTCTACACAATTTGTTGTTGGCCCCAAGGCACAGAATGATGCATTCCATCCCAGGAGCTCTGGTTTTATTTCATTACTGTGATTCCTAGCTCTGTGAGGAAGTCACATGTGGCAGAACCATGTGTTGCCTACTCCAAGTCTTGAAACCTCAAAAAGACAATGCAGCAGAAACAGCACCTCCCATGCCTGCTGCAGGATTATTACTATCTAGCCAGGCTGTTCCCAGCAATTCCCTAGCACTGTCTCTATGACCCAAGGGCAATTTGGAATGTCTTCATAGTCATCTTCATTTAGGCCACATGGACAGAGAGAGGCTAAAACCTTTAGTCTCTTTAAAAAAAAAAAAAAGCTGTACTGGCAGATGTGATTATTGAGCCATCCTCAGTGATATTTATAAGATCATGGAAGATGGGAAAGGTGCCATAGGAACGGCAAGAGAACAGTCTACAAACTGCAGGCCAGTGAACTTGATTTCAATTGGGGGGGGAGGGCAATTGAAGTCTTGATTGGTGAAAGGGAAGTGATGATTACAAAGAGCCAGGCTGTTCTTCAAGACCAAGTGATGCTTTTACTAACCTTGTTTCCTCTTTTGACAAGACTTTTTTTTTTGTCTCAACTAGTTGATGAGGAGAATGCTGCAGATAGAGTATAACTAGATTTTAGAAAAGCTTTTGATAAAATATCTCCTATAATTGTGGAGAAGATGTTGTTCGTCCTTCATTCTTGAGGAGGACCATTGACATTAGAAGGATGATGTCTTGACTTGTGGGTGAATTGAATTGAAGTGAGAGCTGTGCAAGGTCATCACTTTACTCCTCCACAGTAATCAGAATCCAGTAGCAAGACATAAGTCAAGATGCCTGGCAATGGCCCCTGTGGAGAAGAAGATAGATATGGATTAGATGATAAAATCAGGTAAATTTAGTTCAAATTCAGGTTGAATGACTGGACTCAAAGAGTAGTTCAATGTCCACATAGCAAGTCTCTAAAAGAGTACACAGTGATCTGTGCTGTTTAACATTTTTGTTAATAACTTGGACAAAGACATAGATGGTATGCTCATCAAATTTGTAGATGGTAAAAAAAAAACTGGGAGAGATAGTGAACATACTGAATGACAGAGTTAGCATCTGAAAGGAATTTGGCAGGCTACAGCAGGGGTGAGCAATCTTAAGTCTAGGGGACCTGCCCTCAAGTAAGATTATTTTTTCTTTAATGTTTTAGAATAAAGTTTTATCATACTTACAAATGCAAAAGCCATTCTTAATTCACTGAAGTTATCCCTGGGCTGTAGTTTGCCTACCCCTAGGTTAGAACACTAAGCTGAAAATTCAATAGGGATAAATGTGGTCTTACATTTGGGAGAAAAAAGTCAACTTCACAAGTACAACATGGGAGATGTATGGATAGGCAGCCATTGGTCTGAAAAAGATCTGGGTGTTTTAGTGGGCTACAAGTTCAATATGTCAGCACTGTGATGTGGCAGACAAAAAAGGCTAATGCAATCTTTGGCTACACTGAGAGTGTCATAGCTTCCAGGAAGCTTCCACAAAGATGATAGTCCCACCTACTTGGCCTTTGCCAGACCTCGTCTGGAGCGTCTTGTTCGATTCTGGGCACAATGGTTTAAAAAAGCAAGAGACAAGCTGAAGAGTCTCCAGAGGAGGGCAACAAGGATGTTGATAGGTCTTGAATCCATGACATACGAAGATCATTAGAAAGAACTGGGCAGTTCTTCCAAAGTGCTATGATCAAGGGCAAGGTGTGTACTCCTTTCCTGTCCTGTGCTCCGCTCTATGAGTGACCACAAGAACTCTTACCTGCCTCAGAACTGTGAGGAGGATTTCCTGTCCACAGCCACTACAAGCTCCACCAAGCCAGCACTTCTCCTTGCCCCAGGACCACCACCCAGAACTGTGACCGAGATCTAAGCACAGGCAAAGCAAGAGAATCCTGCACCAGCAGAGAGATCCCTGCAATCCGCCTCTGATCACCCACTCAATTCCCCCTCAGTCTGTGTGCCAGAAGCTCAGGAGGCAGCCGCCGCCCCAGGGGCCGAGCTCAGGCAGTGGGGCTGGAACCCCACGCTTCTTTCTCACTGCAGAAACAGACTTTTCCCACTGACCTTCTAAGTTGTCTTTGGCGTTCATGGGTTGAGAAGTCTGGAAACCACCACAGCTGCCTGCGATTCAGTCCTCTGAGGCCTGCTCCAGGGTGGCTGCGGCCTGCACACCCATGCCGAATTGCGCTCTTCTACCAGCCTGGTGTGATATACCTTTCTGATCAACCATCCAGGTTGTCTTGGGCTGGAAATTTGTTTCACTTTGTCTTGTTGTGGGTTCTGCTGCTTTGGAGTTTGTTTAGAGCCATTTTTTATAGGTATTTGGAGGGATTTGGGGAAGAGCTCAAGCAAGTCATGGCTTTGACTCTGTCATCTTGGCTCCTCCCCCCTCAGGTCCCTAGAAGTATCTCTGAAAACAGCTGCACAAAACCCCTGAAGCTTGGGACAGTACATTCTCCACACTGTAAACAGACCCCTACCTTAACAAAGAATTTATAACTCAAGTAATTGGCCAGGATCATGAGCAAGCAGCACAAAAAGAGTCAGACTATATTATCTTACTTTGGTGGCAAAGAAGATCAAAACATACAACCAGAAGACAATGAAGCCAAAGCTCCTATATCCAAAGACTCCAAGAAAAATATGAATTGGTCCCAGGCCATGGAAGAGCTCAAAAAGGATTTTGAGAAGCAAGTAAGAGAAGTAGAGGAAAAACTGAGAGTGATGCTAAAGGAGACCCAAAAAAAAATACTGAAGAAAATAACACCTTAAAAAATAGGCTAACCCAAATGGCAAAAGAGGTCCAAAAAGCCAATGAGGAGAAGAATGCCCTAAAAAGAAAAATTGGCCAAATGGAAAAGGAAGTCCAAAAGCTTACTGAAGAAAATACTTCCTTAAAAATTAGAATGGAGCAATGGAAGCTAGCAACTATATGAGAAATCAAAGCCCTGTAAAACTAATCCAAAAGAATGAAAAAAATAGAAGAGAATGTGAAATATCTCATTGGAAAAACAACTGACCAGGAAAATAGATCCAGGAGAGAGAACTTAAATATTATTGGACTATCTGAAAGCCATGATCCAAAAAAGAGCCTAGACATCATCTTTCAAGAAGTTATCAAGGAAAATTGCCCTGATATTTTAGAACCAGAGGACAAAATAGAAATTAAAAGAATCCACCAATCACCTCCTGAAAGAGATCCCAAAAGGAAAACTCCTAGAAATATTGTAGCCAAATTCCAGAATTCCCAGGTCAAGGAGAAAATATTGCAGGCAGCCCGAAAGAAACAATTCAAGTATTGTGAAAACACAATCAGGATAACACAAGATTTAGCAGCTTCTACATAAAGGGACTGGAGGGTATGGAGTATGATATTCCTGAGGGCAAAGGAGATAGGATTACAGCCAAGAATCACCTACCCAGCAAAACTGAGTGCAATCCTTTAGGGTAAAAAATGGTCATTCAATGAAATTTGACTTTCAAATATAAGACTCAAGTGAAACATGGAAGAGGTAAACAGGAAAGAAAAATCATAAGAGACTTATTAAGGTTGAACTGTTTATATTCCTGTATGGAAAGATGATATTTGTAATTTATGAGTCCTTTGTCAGTATTAGCATAGTGGGAGGGAAAAAATTATATGTATGGATAGATAGATAGATAGATAGATAGATAGATAGATAGATAGATAGATAGATAGATAGATAGACAGACAGACAGACAGACAGACAGGCAGGCAGACAGGCAGATGGCACAGGGTGAGTTGAAGATGAAGGGGTGATATCTAGAAAATAAAATTAAGGGGTGAGAGAGGATTATACTGGGAGAAGGAGAAAGGGAGAAGTAGAATGGGGTAAATTATCTCAGATGAAACAGACAAGAAAAGGCTTTTACAGTGGAGGGGAAATGGGGGAAGGTGAGAGAGAATGAGTGAATCTTATTCTCATAGTATTTGGCTTAAGGAGGGAATAACATACACAATGGGGTATGGAAATCTATCTTACCCTACAGGAAAATAAGGGGGCAAGGGGACAAGAGAGCAAGGGGTTGATAG